AATGAAGAGCCGAATCTTTGAAAAGAGCCGGACTTCCCATCACTAGTGTGTTCACTACTGTGTGTGTGCACTTGGATGGGTTAAATGCAGAGCACAAATTCTGTATATATATATATATATGCTACAGGTCCCAGGCAGTCGGGAAGACTATAAGCAGTAATCAACTTGAGATTAAATGAGAGAGAGAGACAAGAGTTGTTTCCTTAACGGTCCTCTTTGTTGTCTTTTAATACGCATACACAATTGTATTTCAGAGTCAGTAAGACACTTTGAATCACAAAATGATTCATAAACATGTTGGAAAAAATAATACACACTGTATAGATACTTAAATCAAATCACAATAAATAAATAACTAAATAATGATGATAGCAACCTTATCCAAATGTACAGAAATGCCTTAATTCTTACTCACAACTGGCCTGAATTCAGGTAAGTATCTCAGGTAAACAACTCAAGTGAGTATTTCAGGTAAGTGATACATGAGTAAACGTTTCTATGACATACTGTAAGTGTCTTAAAATTATTCATAAAATAAATAATCAATTGAAACAAATTATTTGGACATTAAAACATGTAAATTACAGTTTGGTATGAAATTTTATTAATTTAACTAACCTTGAGATTAAATGAGAGAGAAAGAGAGAGACAAGAGTTAGTTGTTTCCTTAACGGTCCTCTTTGTTGTCTGAGGATGCGCTGCAATCGTCACGGTAACTGTACTCTCTGAACTGCCAGCCAGAATTCAGAAAATGCAGCTGAACTATTCAGTGCAAACTCATCATATAAGGAATTAAAATAAAACGTATATATACACATGTAAATAGAAATGAACATATGTAAATAAAAAATGAAATATATACAAATAATTTAATTTGTGACCCAAACTATATGTAGGATAGCAAGACTATCATAAAAAACGAAATAATTTAAATAAATAATTAATTTATTTTCTTTTCTTCATTTATTTAAAAATATAATAAATTCATTAAAATAATACATTATTATTTATTTTATTAAAAATAGTGTCATTTATTATTAATTAAATAATTAATTAATATTTTTAATGCCATGGCAACAGCAAGACTATTCTTAAAAAAAATAATTAATAATTAAAATAAGTTATTTACTTTACTAAAATAAATTCAAAATAATTAATTTTAATAAATTAATTAAAAATTTTTTACGCTATTTCAGCAGCATGGCTGGTCTTCATGTGAGAACAAAGTGAATAGCAAAAGTCTAAAATTAACAAAATTCACCAAAAACAATATAATAAAATTCTACAATCCATTCAGGTGATACTTTTTTAAATCTATTGTCTATTTTTTAGGGCTGGGCAAGTTAACACGTTATTATCGCATTAACACATTAATTAATTACTGATGTCTAATGTCGCCATGTCTCACTTGTTTTCCATCATCAGACAGGGTGAGATCAGGATGAACTGTATCAGGATCCAGAGTCACATCCACTGAGAAAACAAGAGAAATTGAATCACAACTTCACAATACACATATATTCTGTGACAATGTTTTCAATATTTAATCCAGTTTTTAATAGTGCAGTAATGAAGCTGTGAGTGTATGAATGTAAACTAGTGTAGTGCAGACAGCACACTGTACCTGCATTCTGCTGCATCCACTTCAGCTCTGTAGAGACTAATGACAATAATACATAATCAGATCCTAATGTTATATTTAAAGAATTGAGTACATGTTTCTATCTGATCAGTGTATGTACTGATGTACCAGTTTGTGTGAGTTTCTCATCTGTAGTGTCCTTCAGTTGAGTCAGAGCTCTCCTCAGAGTCTCCAGACTCTCATGAGTCTTCATACTGATCTCAGGCCAGTTCCTGGTGTTTCTAGGGCTGCACAGGGATGAGTAAACCTACAGCAAGAGAGCGGAGAAATCCTTCAGCATGGGGAGTGTTCTGGTGTCAAATCCTGCATTATCATTGATCAGAGAGATCATGTTGACTGACCTGTAGGAGGTGGAGGTGATCTTCAGTGTGTGAGAGCTGCTCCAGCTCAGTGTTTCTCATCTTTAGCTCAGTGATCTCCTGCTCCAGCTCTTCAATCAGCTCTTCCTCCTGTTTCTCTGCTGCTTTCTGCTGCTCCTCCATCATCTCCAGCAGTTCAATATAAAATCCCTGTTGCAAGAATCCGTGTTATTATTGCTCAT